GAACGACAACAACACCTCTGAAACATACATCGGACTCACAGAAACCGACTTCAAAACAAGACACAGAAATCACACCGCATCATTCCGCCACGCCAAGCACAAAAACTCTACCGAACTTAGCAAACACATCTGGACACTCAAGAACGACAACATTGACTATTCTATCTCATGGCGCATCTTATCATCTAACTCTCCCTACAACAGCTCCAATAAAAGATGCAACCTCTGCCTAAAAGAAAAATTCCTGATAATTTACCGACCCGACCTCTCATCACTAAATAAGCGTAACGAACTCGTATCTTCATGCCGACACAGAAACAAAGCGTTGCTACGCAACAACTGAACTTTAAAGTTTTTAAGTTTACCGCGCATTATGCAAATTTTCCTAGTATATAAACGATAGTCACATGAATATTCTTTCATTAAACCCCTGAAGAGTGAAGCGATTCACGAAACAGGCTTGTCGGGAAATGTAGTTACGTCCTTTTTTTCCTCTCATAATATTTATTCTGCTCTGCTTCAACGTATTGAGCACTGTTCCACGCGAAAATCGACTTGCAGACTTCCTATATTTATATATATATATATATGTATTTATATTTATATCAAGGCTGTGCTCTTAGAGAAATTGAAGGGAGACCAGTGCTCTGAAACTGTGAAATCCAGGGTGCCCAGCATATGCTTGCTATGAAAATGCTAAGATTCCTGAGTCGCCCAGAGCAAAAGTAAGGCGCCAGGGGCCACCAGGTGCTGCCAGACTACAGCCCTGGTATATGTATAGGCATAACGCTGCTCTGCCGCATACAATTACAGGTAGCAATGTCATCAAGTCCTATCAAAATCAATAAAATTTTTCTCCTGAGAACTTTATTCCTGAGGGTTACGAAAAAAATCTGTACCGAAATGTTTACCTGGTTGATTTCACACAGGTTGATGTAATAGTCAATTCAACGTCGCCAGAGCTAGATCTAAGTAAGAATGCAAGTGCTAAGGCCTTGAGTTCGGCTGCTGGTCCCAAGCTTCAAGAAGAGTGTAACATGATTGGCAAGGTTGGCAATGGAGAAGTTGTGGTAACAAGTGGAGCAAATCTTACCTGTAAGCATGTATTTCACACTACATGCATTGGATGGCAAGATGGGAAAGGCGAAAAGGTAGATAACAGTTGAGAGACGTATATATTTATTTTTTCGCCGTAACAATATTTGACATACTATAAAAGACGATTTAAGTGATCTTCCAAAGTAGCATCATACGAAGTTTCCGTATCGATTACGAGTTTAAAAAAAAAATTTTAAAATAATGGTATTTACCAGGCTTGTGCATCGTGCTTTTAGTGGGCGGTGACTACTTTAAGGCAATTTTGAGCGCAATATTTGGGACTCGCCTACCTTGTTTGAAGAGAAAGAACAATCCAGAAAAGAAATACCCAAAAATGGAATTCTTACTGACTCGTAATATAGATAGTTTCAACATGGCTTTCGCCTCGGACGCGGCAGTTCCAAGTGAAGTTGTACTTTTATCTCAATTTTTACACGCAACCACTAACGCAATGCACTTGGTATGAAACAAGTTTGGTTACCGCATTTTTTCAGGATTAAAAACACACTGTAACTTTAGAAGTCATCTTTTTGCAGGTACTACGTGACATTATTAAAAAGTGTCTCGACGAAGCTCAAAAGAGAGGTGTTTCAAGTATCGCCATTCCTGCAATCGGTACTGGGAACCTTAAATTTCCCCACGACCGCGTGGCTACTGCTTCCTTTGATGAGGTTTTTTCCTTCAGCAAGAACAATCCGAAAAGCACGTTAAAGGAAGTACATCTGGTCGTGTATGACAAAGATTTGGCTTCCGTTCAAGCCTTTCAAACTGAACTTCAAAATCAAAAGAGAGGTCAGCCTGAATCCACACCTCCTCCTCTTCCAAAGACAGAAAGCAGACAAAGAAGACGTCATGGTTTGCGCGGTATGGGTACCAAAACACTCAATCCAGATACCTCTACCATAAAGCATGATGCGGGCGAAAGTATGTCAGATATATTAGATCCTATCAAGCCCGAAATTATCATGGGCAATGTTTTTGTTCAAGCTGAGATTGGTGATATCACAAAAGAGGAGACCGATGCAATAGCGACATTGTCAAACGAGGAGTTGGATGTTGCATATGGAGGAGGGGTCGGAAAAGCGATTTTAGATGCTGGTGGGCAAATTATCCAAGCTGAATGTTCATCGCTTGGTCCAGTGACGCCAGGTTCTATTTCTGTGACCGGAGCGGGAAAGCTGCAAGTACGATACATTTATCACATGGTTCGAGAGAGAAACAGCAATTCCTCCATGAAAGAATGCATTTTCAATTGCCTACAAAAAGTGGATTCAGACGGGTTGACATCAGTGTCTTTCCCAGCCGTTGGGACAGGTATCATTAAAAGCGGGGCTAAGGAAGCTGCAGAGATCCTTCTTTCAGCCATTTCCAAGTTTGCTCAAGAGCATCCAACATCGCTTGCAATTATTCGAATTGTAATTTTTCAGCCACATATGTTGCAGGCCTACCGAAATGCAATGGAAAAGTTTATCTCGTCCTCAGAGGGCGAGTCTGGCCTCTTATCCAAGATTGTCGGTTGGCTTGGCTTTGGAAAGAGTGGCTCTGCAATATCAAACCCCACAGAAGCAAGGAAAATGCTCCGAAAGAGAGGCATCAGCTTCCTGGATATTTTTGCTGCCTCAAAGGAGGATATCGACAAAATTGTTGAAGAAATTGAACGAGACGTTGCCGACAACTGTAAGATTAAAACGATACTTAATGACGCTATAAGCAAGCTCTCTACGCAACAAACAAGGAAAATAGTGGAACTGCAACTTAATCATGATGCAGTAGTTACCATTGAAGAGGCAGTTGGTCGCATAAGTATAAGAGGAGATGCAGATGACGTTCTGGATATTGCTACTGAAATTCATGAAATCCTCAGCCAGCAGATAGAGGAAGAGCACGTTCGAGGTGTTGGGGAGCTTCTTTGCCGAAACATCCAGTGGTACTCGTATTATCCAGATGATCATGAAAACCTTGATCCCTATGACGCCAGAGATAACTTGAGGATAGAGGAAGCCTTTAATGACGGCAAGGAGTCAGTTATTGTCGTCATTGATGAAAATAGATATGAGATTGTTTTCAAAGACATGATAGAGAGGTGCGTTGAAGATGGAGAGGAAAGCATTGTCGTCCGCAAAGTTATCGGGAAAGGTAAGCTCGGCGAACAAATGCTTAAACTTACCAAAGTCCACATTATTCCAAAAAATGGAGTGTTAAGGGTTATTCACAATTTATGCCTGTAGGATCAATTTGTTCATAAAAATAAAGTAGCCAAGGGTTAACGAAATGCAACCATATTCTGAAAGGACAATTCGCTCAGTAAAAACTTGGGCTTTAAGTGTTAGTATGAGAACCAAAAACCATCATAGAACTGAAGATCGTTTTACAAAGCAGGAAATGTTTTTGCTTCTAAACTTGAGATTATTTGGTCCATTATGACCGCAGTATGTAAAAAAAATTTTTTTCGTTAATACTCTACTTGAGATCTATGCTACATGAAGCGGCAAAATACCGAATAAAGCGTTAAATTTCCACATCTTTCAAGTGATGCTAAGGCTGAGATGAATAATGTTTTCAAATAAGGTGTACCCATTCAATGGGAAAAGCAACCAACGGATGACTCCGGAAAAGAGAAAGAGTTCCATCTTGTGTCGTTGGACCCTGTAACCCATTCAAAGGAGTACAGAAAAGTAGCAGGCGAACTTGGGAAGACTTCCGCTGTCACCATCATCAAGATTGAGAGAGTGCAGAACCCTACCTTGTACCGCGCTTACATGGTCAAAAAAGAACAAATGGATCGAAAAAATGGCAGTAACGAGAAAGCTCTATTCCATGGCACAGCCGGAGCTAGCTGCTCCTCTATCAACCATCACGGTTTCAACAGAAGCTATTGTGGAAAAAATGGTGAGTGTTTACCGTACATACGGCAAGATCAATCCTACTAGTATTAATTTCATTGTTTTGGTCTGACAAACATTTCCACAAGCTCTTGATCCACTTCGAGAAGCTGCATGTGCTCTGTAAACCATAAATTTCTTCATGATCTTATCTGTTTTAGCCACTGTGTATGGAAATGGTGTGTACTTTGCTCGAGATGCTTCATACTCTACGCAAAATAAGTATTCTCCACCAGATGGAGCAGGAAACCGTTACATGTATCTGGCACGTGTCCTAGTAGGTGAATATACGACTGGACGACAAGGAATGATAACTCCACCACCTAAGGGAGCTGACGCTACAGACGCATACGATACCGTTGTGGATAAGCCCACAGATCCAACCATATTCGTTGTGTTCTATGATAACCAATGTTATCCCGATTACTTGATAACTTTCAAATAAGGGGGAGATGTTGTTTGTTAATTAAGTTGAATAGTCATAATCAACCAAAATACCTTGCGTGCTTTTATGCTGTATCTTCTCTCCAGGTAGATAAGCGTCTTAGTTGTCTTCAGCTGAAAGTTGCTGAACGTAAGTCCATGGATATCCATGGGGTGTAGAAATCCGATTTCGTTTTGAACTGATCTCTTCACCGATTTTTATTAATTTCCGATATAATCAAATTCATGGGCGAGAAATCTCGAGAATCTAAAACTCTTCAAGTTGGATATGGAAAGACATATTTTCGTTAGGAGATATTTTGGTAAGGCTCGTAAGAACTGATCAATTTGATCACGGCACTATAATCTATAGGCCTATCTACATAAAACTTACAGTTACTACATGGGGTAAGTAAAGCCCTGGTTATCGAATTGCCCAGAGGAAATATTACTCCAGGCCCTGTAATAATTGCATTGGCGATCTGAGATATACACGCCACAATTTTTAAAAGATTCCATCAATCCTAGGCAATAGGCGATCAATTCATATTAAATTGGCTGCCGCTCAATTTTAATGTGTCAATATTTTTTAAACTAATAAGGTGATGAAAATACAACTATTGGTGAAAAACCTGTGAGACAGTTAGGTTGGAACTTCCTTTTCAGGACAACCCTCACCCAGGCGATCAGAATGCACAATCAAATTTTACTCCGGGTCCAAACCATTTACTCAATGACTTCGAGAGAACGCGACGCGAAAGCGGGGAGTTTCTAGAAAGGTAAACCTCTGCAAAAGCTTTCCATCAGAACCTTTTTATTAGTACGCGTTGTTCTGGTAAAAAAGATGTTGGCTATATGAACCATATTTTTGAAAGAGTGAAAAAAGACAGTATCGAGTATGTTAGGACGACGTTTGTTTTTTTATGATATTATAGTTTGCAGTTATGCTTTGATGAATAGCGTTTAGGGGAGGAAACATGGCTCTCATTTACTCCGATCGTGGTATGCCGACTTACTTTGTTTAAGAATGAAAAATGGTGGAGGTTTCTTTGCACATTACCTGTTATAAAGTTTAGCGATTGATGTTCAATAGTTGTAAACGTATTTAGTGTAGGGTTGTTTAATGCGAGTACCGTTCTCCGTCTGCGATAGTTTTTAAGGAGCAATCCGAAAGCACACGATTCTGGTGATGTGGCTAAATCAACAGAGCGATAGAAGCCTTTGACAGCTGTAACACAGATCCTAAACTGCAGCTAATAGCTTTGAAAAGTTCACAAACACTGTT